AGAACTCTCTTATTTTAAATATGGATAAACGAATATAAAAATTGCACATGGAGAAATTAAGAATGCTCGAGTTGGTGACTTTATTCTCAAAACTGTGATCTAAGTGTGTACAAGGCCTATTACTCACTAAACGATTACTTGAATGACGAGCGTGCATGGCGGAATTTTCATTTAATGTTAGACATAGACCTATATAAATATTGAAAAACTGGCTTTAAAAAAAAAAGTAATTCAATTGATGCGAACTGGACGGTAGGGGAAAAAGCATGCCGAAAGTTTGTGAGTATGAATGGATGTTTGTTACTCTTCCACGCAAAAACTACTTCTACCTTATACGTCAGTATAAACAGTGTTGGAAATTATTTATATGTAAAAAATACATACTGCAATTCAATTGAGTTTCTATCTCTCTCATAGTTGTCTTAAATGTGATGCTAACTTTTACTAAACTTTTACTTAACTTTAAAAAAAGAACACAGAACACTAATTTGTCATATTGAGCTAATACAAGATCCTTTACAAAATATTTGTCTTATTTTCAAAAGAACAAAAGGATAGAATAAACATAAGTATTTACAATTTTCTATCCATTGTTTGATTTATATGACGCATACATTACATCCATTCTATCGACCATCCATAGGCTATTAATTTCATGTGGGTGAAATGAATAAAAAATATGACTATTCTAAAGTCCTTATATTGACACCTATCTACTATATATTGACATCATAAAATAGGTAAAATAACTACTTTATTTTATGTATCGGTAAGTATTCTTAAATCGAAATCAAATCATTTAATCGTGACCACAGTAGAAAATAGAAAAAACATTTATTTGGTTGCTATTAATAATATAATTGTCTGTTAGTCGAGGTTCAACTTTTTTGTTTGTTTTGTAAATATGGAATAATTATTTTTTTCGAGAGAGGTCTTTTAAATGACCTAAATTAGGTCACCAGACAGAGCATATGCTATAAAATATTCGCGTTTTAAACTGGGTCTTACCCACTGTTTTAAATAATATAAATAATGCTTAAGTTTATATTATAATTTTTTTTGTATTTAATTTATTTGAATAAAAAATATTTCTATTCTATCTCTATCAATAAATTTCGTTCAATCACTAGCCATTTTTAAGAACAGAAGAGTTCCTACCCACTAAGCGGTTTAATCACTTAAACACACTGTTCCTACCCACTATTGTTATTACTTAAAGATTATGCATATTTTACATCGATACTTTGAGATTCCTGAACCGATCTTAAAAATTCATTTTACTTAAAGACACTCAGACAGAAGAGTTCCTACCCACTATGTTGAGCGGTATTATACCCCTCATTTTACTTAAAGACATCTCATTTAGCGGTTTATACCCCTAACGAAAAAGGCCATAGGTTATACAACATCACGCTACGATCAATAAGAGCAGAGCTACAATGGAACATTTTGCGGTAAAATCTAACGCAGCATCTAAAAAATGAAAGTTACTCATTTAAACTTAATATTTCTTTTGCAATTGGAATGACAAACAAGCTGACGGTCACATAAGAGGCTACAGCGGCGACCGGTAATCCACCTGATTGTAAGTGAAATTATAACAATACTACCTGTAACCTTTGTAAACTAGGAGAGTATTTTATGTACTTCCGTCGCCTACATACATGAACAGCACTACGGACATCACGTTATCACGTGACGCCCGTGATACAATAGGTAAGGAGTATAATTGCGTAGGATGCTCCACAGCTAGGTGGAGTGATTGTCCGATTATTTATTTATATGTTGAGGTAGACAATTGCATATATAATATTAGTAAGAGACATATGTTAGTAATCTAAAATTAATATATGGCCTTGCAAAATCTAGTTTGAGAGACTATGCTATTATCCATGGCCGTGTGTGCAATGGACTGCAGTGATATATAAATTAATAAAATGTATCAACTAGAAAAGAAGGGTTGAAGATCATGCCTTGGAGAGACCTATACCCAGCAATGGACTGCAGTGATATATAAATTAATAAAATGTATCAACTAGAAAAGAAGGGTTGAAGATCATGCCTTGGAGAGACCTATACCCAGCAATGGACTGCAGTGATATATAAATTAATAAAATGTATCAACTAGAAAAGAAGGGCTGAAGATCGTGCCTTGGGAGAGACCTATACCCAGCAATGGACTGCAGTGATATATAAGTTAATAAAATGTAACAACTAGAAGAGAAGGGTTGAATTTCGTGTTTTGGGAGATGTCCAGCAGTAGGCTGATGATGATGATGATACTTGCCTGATGCTACAGTGTTGCTGATGCTCGTAACATAAATGGTACTGTCGGCACCGGCGCTCCAGTCGACCACGATGATGTTAACATCCTCAACAAACAGGAAAGCTGCAATAAAATGTTTATTATCAATGATGATTTACGTAAAATCTCTATCCTTAAAAAAATAGGTTGAATTCATATTATCAAATCAAAATATCTCTATTCACGGATTGTAAAAGTCTGTAATGGACCTATCCATTACAGACTTACAATCCGTCCAACCTTCCGTCAGTTCGAATTTCTTTTTAAGTTAGATTGTACATGATTACAAAAATACTACTTATACGTATTTGTTGTCTCAAATATTATAAATTTACTAGTGGGCCCGGCAAACGTTGATTATAAAATAAATTCGCTATTAAAAAAGAGGGTTGATGTTAGAAGGGTAAAAATTTAGGAAAATATAAAAAAAAGGGTGGTAGGTCACCCTTATTACTTAGATGTATGGTTCCGGTACAACATATGTATTCATGAGTATGATTGCTTATATATGTCTGAGTGTATTCAATGTATATTATGTATGAATTAAAAAAAAACTATTTGTATTATTAGTTTAGTACCCATAAAACAAAGTTGAGACTAGATGGCGCTGTGTAATTGATTAGGGACTTATTTTTTTTCTTTATGGTTTAATAAAAAAATCTCAATATACCTGGCACGAGAACAGAAATGACGTCAGCAACGGCGTTATCCAACCAACCGTGGAGAAGAATGATTGTTCTACGGGAAGCATCATAATTGGTCAAGCCAATGAGACCTTCGTTGCCAACAAGCAGAGGCTGGCTTGTAGTGGGGTTATCTCTGAAATTAGAAATGACAATACTGTAGAGTAGGACTCTTAACCTTTTTTTTGTTGCCGCAAACTTAACGATTTCAAAAGATGGCAGCACATGAAGAAAAAGTTAACTTATTTTTTATATACTATGTAGGTGGCACACAAGCATATAGCCCATCTGATGGTAAACGGTTATTGTAGCCTATGGACGCCTGAAATACCGGGGAGTCACGTGTGCGTTGCCAGCCCTTAAGAAACCTTAATTCTTGAAAAAACAAATGCCGTAGTTTCTTAAGAAAAGCTCATATACGTATAACACACTGCGTAAAATAGTTTATGATAATCTTTTAAATCAGCGAAATAATGTTTAATATACTACAAAAATCCGTTTATTAAGGAACGTATTAAAAGTTAATAATTATAGAAAAAGACTTTAGAATTTTCGTGGCACATAAGTGCCGCGGCACAAATCACTGTTATGGAGAGACGAACTTCTTTGCATTCCATGGATTAACCGTGCAGGTGCTGCGTACATGTGGCAGAGAGGGAAACTCCGAGCAGTTCCCGGAACTCGAGACCCGGGTGTAGGTATAAGGTTTAATATAGAGGTATTAAAATAAAATTTGAACTACTAATGTTCTAATATACTAGAAAGTATTTACATTAGGGAGGGGGGAGTCAAACAAATGTGACTAACAGTGACAAAGAAATGGTATGGGTATTAAAAATCATAAAATTTGTGATTGGCTTAATTTATAGAGACATAATGGCAGAGTTCTTTAAAAATCTTTGATTTTTATTATTTATAACGGAGAATAGTCTTTTAAATCTTTAATAAGGTAAATGTCATGCAAACGTCGCAAACAACAAAGAATTATCTTGAACATAACAAAAAGATTTATTGAGATAACACAATGATAAGGTGGCAAATTGATATGTTGTTAAGAGATTATCATGTGGAGATTTATTTATAATTTTATCATAGACTCCCCGCTATATTATAATGTATATGATAATGGTAATAATGATAATTAAGCGGATTAATACGTAACGGGGGTTTAGATAGCAATACATTAGAAGAATTGCAAGCCCAGGTGTTTTTAATTAATGTAGATAGAAGGTATCTTAGGTATAAACAGTTTTGAGGATTGACAATACTAATATTTGAAATGAACAAAGTCACCAAGGTTTCCGATAAGTGCCTTGGTTTCCAACACATTATTTAAAACCTTGCTTTTTACGATATCAATACGAACACTTTAAACTTCATTAAATCTTATTTATCAGATACATTATAAAACGTTAAAGTACAGCAGCGCTATGGTTAATGGGTCACTTGAAGCAATAGGTGTTCCTCAAGGATCTATTCTTGGTCCATTTTTATGTCTAGTTTATACTAATGATCTTTCACCATGCAGAATACACGTAGTTATGTCATAGCAATGTTTACATTGTTTTTTTAAGACTCACTGAATAAATAATAATTATAACAATGTAAATAAGGTATTGCTGCGTCTCTTGCATTTGTTTTTAACTAACAACCTCACGTTGAACATGAAAACGAAAAAAATATTTTTCTCTCTATTCTACAGAAAGGTCGCAATAAGACAGTGAAATTACAGGATAAGAGCCATGTCATTTTGATCCTCTGAAATGGCAAAGTATCACTAGTTTACATCCGCCATGTGATAACGTGATGTCCGTAGTGCTGTTCAAGTATGTAGAGGACGAACGGTTATCACTTCCCATCAGGTTTTTCCAATTACATAAAAAAATATACACGATGACTTTATGCCCATAATGCTGTTAAAGTAGGTATTTAGACGACGGTTACCACTACTATCAAGTTGTTTACCATTCAAAGTACATAAAAAACCAATCAGAGTCTAGTAATACACATACCTGGTGAAAAGATGGTACACGTTTTGTCTGTCAGGGTTGTATTTGGCAGTGTCTCTCAGATCACTCGTCTTCATCCAGAAGTCTACCAGGTGAGGGGTGCCGTCCGGTCCACGCACATAGTTGTACCGGGTCTCCTCATATTTCCGGATGATTGGGTCAGCTGGTAAAGCTGGAAATATTGTTTTTTATACAAACAACTGAGACTGATTCTTAACCTTATATCTTTTTTGTTTGTAAACAAAATAGGATGAGATCAATAATACAAACATTATATTTTAAGTGAAAATCACCACTATACATTTATGAAAACCGCACCAAAATCGGTCAAACTGTTTCTGAGCACAAATTATTATAGGTTATATTTTGGGTTAACGAAGTTGCAAGTTTGTCCTATATAATTTTTTTATAGCCTGACCGTGACTATAAAACTTACTGCCCGTCTGATGGGAAACAGTTACCGTAGCTTATGGACGCTTAAAACACCAGGTTCTTTTAGATAATTCTAAAAATCCCAAGTATCGTAGATAGAAGTTTTGTCTAATGGACACGCAACACATGGCATATTCCAATTTAAATAGATAGATAATAGGTAAGAAGGATAAAAAAGAGTGACTACAAACAAAAGACATTATACAAGGCTGTCTCTCGAATTCAGCAGAGTCATAAATATTATTGATGTCCCCTTTTGAACTCAAGACCTTTCCTCTAAATTGAGGCTTTAAACCACTAATCCACGACGTTCATCACTATTCACACAAAATTATTAAATATACATTTCGAATAATAAAGTAAAAAAATATATTCAATAATATTTCTCTTTATTTATATGTAACAGAAATTCTTTAATCAAATAAACTAAACATAATCAGTTTTGAATTCATATTCATAGTCAGAAAAGATTGTTTTATCAGAGCAGCTAAAAACAATTAAAAATCTAACGGGCTACCCGATCAAAAGTTCTAATATAAAGACGGTGAATTGCGCATGAAACATAGAAACAAAAATAAATTCTCTGTCTATCTTCAATACAGATCCTTTTGGGGTAGACTATGACCAATTAAAAATTATAAATATTTCTTTTAAAATTTCTTACTTAAATTATAAATTTATTTGACACCAGACGGTAGTATCGGATGAAAGTTGTATAATTATAATAATAATCAGTTTGAATCATGACAACCATGACGGAATGGTCCATATGATAGTTTGTTACGAATTCTTTTAATCACTGTTAGTAAAATAAAATTGACCTATAATATAACGGTAAGCCTTCCCTATTTACCGCACGGCAGGCTCTACGAACTCTCAGGATGTGCAGTTCTGTAGGTTTACAGAGCAGAACAGAGTCATCTCAAATCGTTAAAATTAATAATCGTTATGATCTATCAAATGATGCAATTTTCATACACATGATTACACAAAATCATTTATTAGGCTATAACATGGTTATACATGTAAAACTTCCTTGAATTTACAGCCATAACAGTATTTCAATCTTTTGATCGTTTAAAAAGTAAACGGAAAAATAAACTACCAACAGTAGCGTCCTTTGCTTTATAATATTTATAGAAAACCTATCAGTTTAATTAACAAACGATTGTTATAAACAAAAAAGTTTTACTATTAAAAATTACCTGAAACTGCTGCTACCGCCAAAAGTACAAGAAGACCGATCGCCGCCATGTTTGATTTCGTATTCAATGAAATCACAAAATGTCAATTGTTTTAAGTACTTCACTGCCTAATTAAAACGAATTACAGGTCACGTCACTAATGAGGTGATAGCAATGTTTTTTCCAACATTTGATTGAGATATATATACGATATGATATTGATTTTATCATTGTTATTTTTCAATATCTAATCCTGAGGTAGGTAAACCTGAGTTCGATGGCTAAAATGATAATTGGCATTGCAAGTGTGACAGTTTTAATTTTCATGATGTTTAAATTTTTTTATATGGTATTATAAACTAGCTGACAGTTGTGATGGTGATATCATGCCTCCTGTATCACTCCTCACTGTTATATCTCACCCTTCAATCGAAATATAGTACACAAAGCAGCTTAGCAGTTGAAATAAAATCGAACAAATAATAATAATAGGTATCTAATACGCCAATTGCGGTCCATCAGCCGCAGTCACGCAACCTGACGACGAACCGTCAGTGTACCAGCGGTCTAATTTGTAAAATTTGTACTACTCTCACTTCCAATAAGTAATAATAATAAATAACCGTAACACATGACTTGTTTGCTTTGTTATTTATTTATTTATTTATTTATTTAACTTTAATGCACACAATATAATATATAGTATAGTACATTTGGCGGACTTAAAACCATGCGGCATTTTCTACCAGTCAACCATAGGTGGTGCAGAGAATAATTGTTGGCGATGCAAAATTATAAACATAAACAAAATATATATATATGTTATTTCATTTTTAATTAAGATTTCTTCTCGACATTTTTATTTCTGCTCAACTTATAAAGACGGATGTTATGCATACTCATCATCAACTTTCTGGCAAGCAGAAGAGGAAATGCCACTACACCTTTTGAGGTTTTGGGCAACAACTACTCATGCATAAGAGAAGTATCTCCTTTGGAAAGTATACACTCTACGTTGAGAAGATAAAAAGCATCACTCATAAGAATATCCTACAATTCTTGTCTCTTGACGGGCCTAGGTAGCGAGAACTTTGTAAAAAAGGGCGGGCACGATAGATATCTCTATTGAAATAATATTATTGTTTCAATTAATACCATTCACCAATATAATCTAAAATATATACCTATCTATTTAAGTATATCTAAATTAGATTTATTTAGATATATAGCCTCTTCATTGTTATATAGCATTACGTTACATAAATGAAAATTATGAATATTAGATCACACATAGATCAAAGGGCGGCCTTATCGCTGCAACCGATCACTTCCAAGCAACCTTTGTATGCAGAAGAATAATATTATTTTAAGAATACTGCCACTATCAAAATCTACAAATTTTCTTTCTTCTGTGCTTCAAAATTTTAATTGCATTAGCGACGAATTTCTTAACAATCTTTAGATTCACCCTGCCGGGTGCCGGGTCCATCGTGTGGCAGGGAGGGAAATTACGAGCAGTTTCCGGGACTTGTAACTCAGGTGTAGGTTTAAGGGGCCTCTTTGGCGTTCGTCTACACTCATGTCTCTCCCTGCTTAGCCAAATCTGGAGCCTGCTAGTGCTGCTTTAGATACATGTTCTAGTATATAACTTACTGAAGTTCTAGACAGGCCAAGATCTTTTAGAAATTTAAAGATTCGCTGGCATACCTCTCGCTCCCACCTCGACCGCATATAAATTAACTTTAGAACAATTTTTCGTTAATTCTTTCATAATATTTGTTTTTATAGCATGGTCTGTAGGTATATTTGTTTCTTATGGTACAGTGAGCTCCAGTATTACCCGTTTAGTTGTCTTAGAATATACATTCTCTGAGATTTTATAATGCTAAAATAGTCCAGTCAGTTGCAATACCTAGGATTAAGAATGGCTTGTTTTTGGAGTTACGACTTAAGCCTTCTTGCAATGTCTTTTGCTTGTTGTCACTCCTTTTTATCCTTCTTGTCCCCTTCAAATAAAATTAACAAACATTTATTAATGTAGAACATTTTAGCAGCTTATTAACATCAAGTTTTTACGAGACCCTAGTTCTTAGAAAAACGCATGAGTGGTATCATGATCACATGATAACGTGATGTCCGTTGTGCTATTCTATATGTAGCCGACGGTTTCCACAAACCAAGTGGTCCATCAGGTTATTTCAATCAAATCAAATCATATCTAAACATTATTTATTCATGTAGGACATTTTAGCCGCTGATGAACGTCAAGTTTTTTGTATTAATATATTTCTCCTACCGTCCGGTTCAGTACACAGATTCCATTGAGAAAATTGGCAAGAAACTCAACTGTTTTTTTTAAAGCAGTTATAATAATTATGATAACATTGTTTACTAATGAAAAATCCCGTGCATGAACAACTATTGCCATTTACATTTGTAATTTGTTTGGCCTTGCTCAATAAATATAATTTTAACAGATGTTTTAAATTTATTTATTGAATTCCCTCTATTTCATTTGATATAATTAGGTATCTTACTTAAAAATGTATTATTCTCGATTGTAAAAACCACAATAAGGGGGTTTGGCGTGGATTAACGTACTAATCTATAGATAGTACCAAATATTCTGTAAAAATCAACAACAATAACAAACATGACGGACTCGGTGGTTCAGCGGCCTTAAGGTTATAGCGGCCTTATTTCTGTTTTGGAAACGCCACTACACATCCTATATGGTTGTCCACTCATGCATAAACGAAACATCTCCTTTGTAAAGTACACACTATTCTGATCCCCTCCGATCGATCCCCCGTCCAATTCAAACGGGGATCGAAATTACGACGGCCTGAGCCGAGGTTCGAAACCCTAGTGGTGCCCTCAGACTAAAGTCGTATCCGTCAGGCAGGAGTTGGCCTTCAGCCGCTTCATAAGTCCTTCTGCAGGTTTGGAATGCCATCTGCACTCGCCCCCTAACGTCCGGTGAAGCTGTAAAGGCCAGCTGCGGCCAATAGCATTAGAGTAATCCGAAAAAAAAACTATCCTGAAGAGATAAAAATCATCGGTCCTAGGAATATCCTTCAGTTTTTGTCCCTGACGGACTTTTTGTACAGGTTTCGTAGGAACCAGGTAATAGCGTTAAACCCCTAATAAAAAGAATCTGTTCCTGGAGGAGTCGAATCCTCTCAGCGTACAGACATGTATATATTTGTGTGTATAAGTGTTTGTATTTGTTGTTTTGTATGTACATATATTAATTTCGGCGTTCGACGGCCTCAGTTTCGCATACAGCTTTACTTCTGGTTCGATTCCTCACACAATGCAAACATTTGTATTCATGAGTATTGTCTGTCTGGATGATTTCTATACATATATTTATATAATATATTATTTATTTGTATCAGTTGTCTAACACAAACACAATTGGACTAGATGGCGTTGTGTGAATGGAAACACACACATATGTGCTAAATGAAGTAATACAATAAATTAAGTTTTCTAACGATTTTACATGTAAATTTAATCTATAATCTTTATTATTTTGGGAAGGAACTGACTCCTGATACACAGCTCACACTGGTTTAGGGGAGTCAAGACTGCGGCAAAAAATAAAATATATATATATATGTTATTTTCATGTCCCTAAAAAGTTATCTCACTAATATACCTATGCAGGTGGTCCAAGTTAGATAAATGAATCAGACTTAATCCCGTGGAATTGATTAATTATCCGATAACGAAATAATCATTCTATAAATAGTATTGTAGGTAATTGAAATTGAATTATTATAGTCAAATAAATTATCCATGTATTTTTTAATGGATAACAATAGTATGGTTAACCCGATTGCGCTAACGGTTTACTCTGGCGGGCCACAGGTGGAGGATGATAGGACGAGCATGAGATCAAGTCAGTCAGCCCATCGTGGTAAATTCATCAGGAATTTATCACGACGGTTTCCAGAGGCCGACCATCGTGGTGGTCAACCAGTCTTGGTACATTACTACACTATTTTCCCTCGTATGCATGTATTTATATCAGTTGGCTAGTGGCCATAGAACATACTCGTAAGCTCTGCATACTTATAATTGGATACTTGGGACTGTATGGCTGTGTGTGTTGTCCTGATTTATAAAAAAAATATGAATTAAACTTTATGATTTTTTTAATCTGACAGAGAAACACATTTTTATACACATACACGTACATATGGATGACTTTATGCATTATATTGTAACGTGATTTACTAATTGTATTCACCCTTACCTGTTCCTTATCTTTGGCTCTAGCCTGTTTAAATGTTTAACTGTATTGTTTTTAAATAATCAATATAAATATAACTTTAATATTAAAGATAAATTCACGAGGTATCTGTTATTGGCTTTACTAACTATGTAATACTATATATTGTCTATAAATTGTATAAGCTGTTGATTACCTTAAATAAATAAATAAATAAAATAAATCATCTATATCAATATTCTTGAGGAAGACTTTACAAAGTAGTTTGCGTTGTCTATTTATATTTAAACTGCCAAGTAAGGTATGGTTTCATTTAAAAAATATGGTAATAATACTAACTATAAGATCTCCAAGATATTTCATAGTCCCAAGTCAAGCAGAGCTTGTGATGTCGGTACTAAACCATTGGTATAAATATACACATTCTTTTTGGATAAACATATATAATAGGTAAACATAGAAAATACTCAGACCGATACAAACAAACATATATGCACAATTTGATAAAGTGCGAGGAATCGAACCCGCGACCGATCTGTGGTGCTATTCACAACTAGTTTGCCATTCCAATTACAGAAAATAATGCCATAGAGTTCTGTAGAAATCATTATCTGCTTCTTCCTTATCCCATTTATTTGAGGTCGGCGTAATATATTTTTGTCTTCCATTCATCTCTGTTCGCCATTCATTACATGCCCATACCATGATAGACGATTACTCTTCAACCTCTCCGACAGCGGCGCCACTTTTATACTTCCTCTAATGTATTCATACCTTATCTTATACATTGTAGTTCAGAGTTCTGTAGAAATATACAAGTAAAATGTTAT